GAGACTTGTGGATCGCCCTTAACGAGGTTAGATACCATAGCAACTGTCATCACCATAGCAGCTGCCATCACCATAGCAATTTCCAACTTCCCTTAGAAAAGAGGCGCAATTCAAGTTTATCTTAATCCGAATCATTTTCAGGTTGAGCTAAGCCGAGCGATTCATGATCTACCGGGAGGACTGGAGACTATTATTACTGAGTCAGGCTCGAATTTTAGCGTTGGTCAGCGGCAGCTCATTTGTTTGGCACGTGCGTTGCTGAGACACAATGCGATATTGATTATTGACGAAGCTACTTCTCACGTGGATTCCAAGTAAGTAGAATCTAATACGTTACCACGTGATCTCGCCTCGAATCGCGCAAAGTATTGTTTGTCAAATTAAACAGTTCCTAATACCCAGTCTCCTATTTCATAATATCTCACAGTTATCAAAATGGCAGCTGGTGACTTATTAAGACAACACAGATTTTGCTTACTTTTATTGCATTTGTGCTTTGTTTTTATTAAGAGAGAATTCTTTTCGTATTCAAGCAGTGAGCGCCAAAAACTATTTTCTTGAAGAAAGGATGTTGTACAAGGCTAAAATGTTGTTATTCAGAAAGTTTAACTTGTTTGGAAGTGGAGATGACCGATGAAAGTGGAATCAAAGTGTTAACCCAAAGCAAAAATTTTATTCGAAAATGAGGTTTAGGCCCATATATTGCTTATTTCCCATATATTTTCTATAAAAAAGCCTGACAAAGCAACATTCTAACACAAATGCAACAAAACATCTTTGTACAACTGAAAATATCGCTTCAAACATATTTTATCAAAGTACATCAGTTTCTAACTGTTTAAAAAATTGGGATCAAAACTCATACGAAGGTCTAGTTTTTGGCGCTTTTGGCCATTATTGCTCGTTCTTGAAAAAGAATTCCTCTTAACTTTTTTTGCTGATGGGGCAAGAGAAAGCTTTTCTGGTACATGTAACATAGAATTTTTCAATGTAAAGTTATTTCTTAGGACGTGTTTTAAAAAGGTTAACTCAAAATTACCCTACTCCCGTGCGTCATCAACTTGCGCGCTCGCACACTTTCTGTTTCGTCTTTAAAAGTGATCAAAGCAAAAAAACGAAAAGAGCGCGCGCGCAAGTTGATGACGCACGGGAGTAGGGTAAGGCGAAGTTTAAACTGCATCCGGTTGCTAAAAATAGCCCAACCGGGAATTTGCATAGCGCGCGCGTTATTTAGAAGTTTACCTCTCTTATTTATACTCTCTTGGTCGGAAAAATAGACGTTCTAAGGTACAAATGATGACCATTTTCACGGCGGCCATGCCACACTCATTTTATATTGGCGATCAACATCTCTAGCGTTTATCTGTACAATTTTTGAAACCCATAATGATTATATATCGTTTGAACAAATGTTAAGATCTTCATTTATGAGATTCAGTAAGTCTTTTTTCCATTGTAGGACTGATGTCTTGATTCAAAAAACAATTCATAATAAATTCAAGGACTGCACGGTGCTGACCATTGCTCACAGACTCAACACTATCATTGATTGTGACCGGGTCATGGTAAGTGATGAAATATTATCAAACTTAATGATATCTAATGAGGACGAAAAAGAGTCCCGCGACGATTGTTTGGATATGTGATCTTCATAAGCATAAAATGTGCTCCGTTTTGTAGTCCGTCCGTCGGTTGCTTGGTCCTTTTTAGGCCCCGTCCACACTATGCCGGATAAATTTGAATCCGCAACTTTCACACCGAAACCAAAAAAGTTTTCCGTCCACACATGAAAACGGTTAAAATGTTTCGCGTCCACACTAGTCCGATCAGAGGCGGCAAAAACGCTTCATTGCACATCTGATCATGTGCACGGAAGCTGAAATTGAGCCTGCGGTGATTGTTTAGGCCTTCCCGCCATGTTCCCATGACAATCATGACGTCATCGTATTCGAAAATTTTCGGATACGGAATGTTCTCCGTCCACGCTAATACGGCTAGCCGGCGTTTTCAAATTGTTCCACTCTGGAGGCCGTATTCCAAAAAAATCGTTTTCGGTGAAGAATTGATCCGGATACGCCCGGACTAGTATGGACAGTAGGTCAGTTATTATTAGTCAGTTAATCGATTGGTCGAACATGCAATCGCTTAGTCAGTCAGTCAGTTTATCAGCCAGTTGGGAGATCCGGTCAGGCAATGAATTGTACTGTCGTTCGTTCGGTCGGTCGGTCGGTTTTCAGCTAGTTAGTCAGTTGGTCAGTCAGTAAGTAAATCGATTCTAAGGTCGGCCGGTAGTTCTGCCAGTCAGCATATCCGTCGACCTTTCGACCGCTCCGTACGTCAGTCAGGTTTTTAGCTATTCAGTCCTTTGTTCGGTAAGTAAGTTAGTCGTTATGGGTAACGTGGGTGGCGTTCGCGGCTAACGCGTCGTCTTTCACCGCTGTGAGTCCAACGGGTCGGGTCGCTGGTTCGAGCCCTGCGGTCGCCACATGTGAATTGAGTTTGTTTAATGTGTTCTTCTCTCCCATGCTACGAGGGTTTTCTCCGAGTTCTCCGGTTTCCTCCCTCCGTAAAAATCAAGAGCAAGAACGACTAGACACTTAAATAAGTTGATTTATTTTTATCTATTTTATTACATCGATCAGTCAGTCAGACAGTAGACCGATCCCGACTATGCTTGAGTGTCAACGCAAATAGTGCATGGGTAGTTTTCCAGATGCATGGAATACAGAATGTCCGACCAACAAACTCAAATTTGGAAGATTTTTCAGTTGTTATCGATTTTTTTTTCTTAATGTCCCTTTAAATGCATCGATTCTAAGACAGTAATGATAAAAAGGTAAATTATACACCGTGAAAAGATTTAAAAACTTACTGACGTTTCGGACGCTGTAGTCCTTTGTTGGAGTAAAAGAGCTCTTTTACTCCGACGAAAGACTAGCGTCTGAAACGTCAGTAAAATTTTTCATCTTTTCACAGTGTATATTTTACCTTTTTATCATACTGTTTCATTAGAAACACCGACGCAGCTCACACTAGTTTTTAGCTAGTTATATCTTCTGATTCTAAGACAGACATTTAGAATTTTCAGCAAACGGTGTCTGTTCCATGCTGTATATCAAAAACATATTTACGCTTGTCCGACGTAGCAACAGTAACTAGGGAGGTAGTACAATGAATGCGGGATCGGTATATCCATCGGTCTTTCGACCAGTCACTCAGTCAGGTTTTCAGCTATCAGCTAGCCAATGTGAAGAGATGTATTGCAATAAACTGACGTTTTATCCTCTGTTTCGTCAGGTCCTCGAAAGTGGTCGCCTGGTTGAATTTGACGAACCTTGTATATTGTTGCTCGACCCAGACAGCGCTTTTTCCAGGCTTGTCGAGCAAACAGGGAAAGAAAATGCTGCCAACCTGATGGAACAGGCGAAAAGAGCCTACGAATCTCAACACAGACCTCAACTACTCGACTACATCCCAGAACATCTTAGAAGTAATTTAAGAGCGTATTTACCAAGCTCTGGTTTCTCCGAACTGCAAATTGAATCGAATTTGTGAATTGATTTGACTATTGCTGTTTCTATTTGTGTCTCCCTTGATTCAAACGATTTTCTCCTGGTCCTGTATTTTTCCTTCCTTCGCAAAACCTAACCATTAAATTCCATTTCGATCAGTTAGTTAGCCGTGCCCTGACTTAGATCAGCCCAGAGGTTGTT